TATTTCTTTCGTGTCTAAAGAAGGGATTGTAACCCTGACTGCATGGAGATGCCATTCTGATCTACTCCAAAGATGAGAACATTACCCAGTATTGTCTCCTTCCTTAGGAGTTAATCCAGCTCTGCCTTTCTATAATCTGGCCAAAAACCCACCTCACAAGCTGTCTTGTTCATCTAAAATCATGCTAAAGAGATGGGAGGAATAATTTACCTTTCTCAAAATATAGTGTACTCATCCTTCCTGAAACCCTTCTGCTGCAGTTGCATACAGCGCCAACACTCCATAAATTATGTTTCTTCTTTCTATCTCTTTTTCCAAAACCTGTGTATGCTTTCCCTGACACTCTTAAGCCTTCTCCTTCTTTCTATGAAACTATTCACCATCTACTATCATGTGGATACATATAAACAGCATGGAATTTCCTCTTCTTCTCCATCTCCTTCTCCTAAGAAGCTGAAGATTTTTAATTAACCTGCCCTATTTTCTCCTAAAGCCGTAGAGGTGAACTTGACCTTCCTTCCATGTAGTTTCTAAATGTTTTATTTAGAAAGCTAAGAGCACAAAAGAGGGGAACCTAATTTCTTTGCAATCTTTTGGAGACTTCTCTTGTATATAGACATGTACAAATGTAGAGATCAGTATTTGCAAGTTCCAAGATTGTGGTGCATGCTTTTAATCCCAGCACTCAGGAGGCAGAGGCAGGCAGATCTCTGTAAGTTCAAGGCCAGCCTGGTCTACATAGTGAGTTCCAGGACACCTGGGGCTACAGGGAGACCTTGTCTCAAAAAAACAAAACAAAAAATAGTTACCATAAAACTTAAAAGATTGACCCGTGTTTACCAGAGCTCTAATATCATGACTAATTGCAAAGAATATTTATATGTTTCCCTAACTCTCCTCCTAATTATCTGTATTCAGAAGAATGTAATAAGGGAAACTGGAGTTTAGAATCCTTATTAAAACCATAACACATAAAATCAGAGCAGGAATTACGTATTGAGTCATTATAATTGTTTTTCTTTACTAAGCATATGCTTTTTGTATTGAGGGCTAGTAAGTATTAGATTCTAATTTGCATTCCTATAATCATTTTTATCTTTTTTATAATTATAGTCATTACTGTAAGTTATTAATTTGCTTACTATTGTAAGCAAATGAAATCACCTGGTTGCTTTTCTGTCCCTGAAGAGCTTTACTGTGTTTTTTCTTGGCAAATCCCTAAGGACTTCAGAAGAGCTCAAGAACCTGGTATAAGGAGAAAAATGGGTACTGTTCATACCTTGCCTTAGTTGACTTGAGACACTGTTTTCTAAAGGTAAGAGCAAATTCTATCACACATGAACTATCTAGAAGCCATAAACATTGATTATCAATCAAATTGTATGGGTTACTCTCTAAATAGAGATAGAAGGTTTCATTTAACCTGAAATTGATTTTTCTGTTTTCTAAGAACACAGCAGAGCACAGAGGCAGGATGCCCCATGTACTTTTCTCAACAGGGATTAAGTTAGGAAGTTCTTTGAGCTTCCTTGATAAAACAAAGCATGACAAGAGCAGTGCAAATAAAGAATTCTTACATGTACAATTTAGAAAATTTAAAAATAAGCCTTTGGTTACATGCCATTAGGGGATTTACTTTTTTCTTACTGAGACATTTAAATTAATTATATTTTTTTCAATTAAGAAGTTAATCTAAAAATCAAGGATTTTTATTTTCATATTTTTTAGTATCATAGCCTATTTAAAATTAATTGCATTATGAATGAATCAAATATGTAGAAATGTGATTTATATAATTTGTTGTTTCTAGTGACATAATGGTTTCAACATTTTGATATAACAAAAGAATGGATAGAGAAAATCTGGGTGTGATTCCTGGCTCTGCTACAAACTGCTACTCAGGTTATGACTAGTCACATCTCACTATTCTCATCAATTAAAGGACATTGAATCATTTATTTAGCAGGTTGGAACATAGATTTGAAAATATACATAACATGTACATGTCTGTTCCCTGTTGACATCTTAATTATACAGGAACTGTTGTGCTCTTGTCATGGCTTTCTTCTCTCTTGAGTACTGTATTAGCATATGCTAAATATTGAATTTGCAAATTCCTATTAATTTTTATGCCTTAATAAGTAAAATTGTAAGTAATGTTTAATATTTCATATTATTTCATTCTTCACATAAATTTAAAACATTAATTTAAAAATATTTCTCTGTATGTATTGGCAAATGTCTTTAACCTCACCATTTAAGAGTCAGATGAGGCAGAGGTGTGCAGATCTTTATGACCTTGAGGACAGTCTAATCTACATTGTGAGTTCTAGGATAGCCAGGGCTACATAGTACACATTGTAATATACATATATAATCTATATATATTATTGCTGAATGATCTGTAGAGATAACTTATTCATGAAAATGACATTACAGCAAAAATTAAGCCAATCCTATTCTTTTCTAACCTTATGCTGCTATTAAATGCTAAATTGAAGATTATTAACACAGGAGTTTAAAGTTTAAATACATTTCTTTTCTCATTTACAATAATCTTGTTAGAGTAACAATAAAAACCTATTAAAATAAAACTTTTGTTCAAAAGATTAGAGTGCAGGCCCAACATTCTTCTGGGCAGGCCAACCTGGCAAAGGCACCATCTCTTGTGTGAGTGTTAAATTTACCCAGAAATTGGATTTTAGTTAGTTTTTTAAAATTAAAATTCTGGAGCTCTCCAAGAAGTTAATCAGTGTTTTATTTGGTTGTTTACAACCACACACTTATAAAACTATTGGTTCTATGTATTAGAAAAATCATCCACACATATTCAGGAAATTTCTTTGTAAAAAAGGCATGGGGCTTCTTATTCTAAGAATAATTTTCAATTAGTTTGCTAACTACCTTCGTTTCAGTGAAAGGCTTTAATGAAAATCATTTATAGGTCTCTGCACCTCAGCTTACCCCTCCAAGTGTAAACATACTGAAAGAAAGAAAAATCACAATCCTGAAAATTTTGTAGCTTTTGTTTCTGTTTATATTTTTCAATGTCAGTGGCACTGAACTTGGGATCACAGTGTGCATCCCAAGAAATCAAGTTCAGCCACACATCCTTGAGAAGCCAAATTAATAGTTAAAAGTAAAAGGAAGAAATTTATTCAATGTGGTCACGTTGGGAGGATGGACAAAAAGATCCTTTGGGATCTAGTAATGAGACCAAAGTTTAAATAGAGGATCAGGGAAATGAACACCTAAGCAGTCCAGGTAAAGCTGTTCTCCTCTCCTTGTCTGGGCTTCAGTGTCATCCTTTAAGGTAGTGTGACAAGTTCTTAGAACTGCATGAAAACTCTTTCAGAGAGACAAGTGTCCCTCTGGCTGTTGCCTTTTTCTTCATCCAGCAGGAGAGTTCTAGGGAAATTCCCATTTCTTTGGGCTCTACTTTTTCAATAGACTGCTGGATCCAGACACAAGTAACTCTTTAGAATATCTTCCTCTCTGCCAGACTGTTTATAGTAGGAACTGAGCCCCAGACTTCAGGAATGCTAGTTAAGCACTCTATCAATGACCCACATTCAGTTTGCATTTGAAAATCTTGGAAAAATGATGGGCCGTTTAATAATCTCATTTCAACAACACAAGTATTCTGATCAGAGAAGGATGCATTTTCAGTTATTTTGGACACAAAATATTTGTGCCAATTATTGTGCTTTTTAGCAATAAATTATTATATGTAAATAATTGTATTACTTATGGGTAAATTTTACATAGCACTTTGAGAAACCTCAGATGAGCTATAAACATGTGAAGTGGCCATGGTTATGTTTTCACAGAAATGTATTTCAGAGAATTGTCTGGCACAATCAGCATAGAAGCTGATAAATGCTACATGACTATTAATTTAAATTCCGGAAGCAGAGGCTGGAGAAATAGCTCAATGATTATAAGTACTGGCTGGTCTTGCAGAGGACAAAGGTCAGGTCCCAGCACATACATGGTGGCTCCCAGCAATTCGAATTCCAGTTCCGAGAGATCTGATGTCCCCTTCTGGCCTCTGTAGGCACTGCATGTACATAATGGACCTACGAACATGTAGGCAAAGCACTGATATACACAAATTAAAAATAAATAAATAAATGGATAATTTAATCCAGAAAAAAGTAAGAAAATGGAAAATCAATAGAGACCATAAATTTATAATTGGTGATATTTGTCACTTGAATACAAAGTATTAAGTAGAAAACAGGATTCAACTTTTTCTAGAAGCGATTCTGTTCTGTCCATCACTGTGCCCTCAATACTAGAGAGATGGAGTAGCTTCCAAAGGCTGGACCTCAGATGCTTTGCTGAGAAAGAGAAATGAACAACTTCTGTAGATGTAAGTATAAACTTGCTTGTTTCTGCTTAACTTATAACACTTATTTAATAATTCTCATATTGATTTATTCAGTTAAACTCAACCCATTGTTACTATGTAAGTGTGTTTTGTGTTTAATAAGACCAGTAAAGTTTGGAGTCTATATGCGTATGTTCAGGCTATCTGATTTTTATTTTTTATTTTTTTGGTCTTTTTGAGACAGGGTCTCCCTGTAGCCCCAGCTGTCCTGGAACTCACTATGCAGACCAGGCTGGCCTTGAACTCACAGAGATCCACCTGCCTTTGCCTACCAAGTGCTGGAATTAAAGGCCTGCGCCACCACGTCCAGCTAGGCTCTCTGATTTTTAAGTTAATATGACATGAAATGAGATGACAAAATTTGAGAGAAAATAAATGGGAAGTTAAGAAAATTTTATTGCCTTTTTGAAAAAAGCTGAGTAAATTTAGTAAACAACAGAAAAAGTTCTATTTCTTTAAACAGAAAAATGAATCTGTTTCGGCTCATTTTGCACACAGCAATGACAAGGCTTCATTATGCTATTTCACCATGTGACCAGAAGCATCCGGCTGGGTGAACTCTTAAGTTCCCAAAGCATTGCCTTCAGAACCTGTACATAAACAAGGAATGTCAAGGGCTCCATCAGATACAGATGCACATAGGATGCAGGTGAACAATGTGACTGAAGTCACTGTGTTTATCCTATTGGGATTCACAGACGATTTTAACATGAACGTCATTTTATTTTTCTTATTTCTTGCCATCTACCTTTTTACTCTGATAGGAAATTTGGGATTGGTTGTATTGGTCATTAGCGATTCCCGGCTCCACAACCCTATGTACTATTTCCTGAGTGTATTGTCCTTGCTGGACGCCTGCTTTTCTACAGTACTGACCCCCAGAATGCTGGTCAATTTCCTTGCGATGAATAAATCCATTTCACTTGCTGAATGTGCAGCGCAGATGTTTCTCTCTACTACCTGTGGTACCACGGAATGTTTCCTCTTGGCTGCGATGGCTTATGACCGCTACTTAGCCATCTACAACCCACTTCTGTACACAGTGAGCATGTCTCCCAGAGTCTACGTGCCGCTTATCATGGCTTCCTATGCTGGTGGAATTCTGCACGCTACGATACACACAGTGGCCACTTTCAGCCTTTCTTTCTGTGGCTCCAATGAAATCAGGCATGTCTTCTGTGATATCCCCCCATTGCTTGCTCTTTCTTGTTCTGACACCCACATCAACCAGCTTCTGCTCTTCTACTGTGTGGGCTCCATAGAGATAGCCACCGTCGTGATCGTCCTGGTCTCCTACGGTTTCATCCTAGTGACCATTCTGAAAATGAATTCAGCCGAAGGGAGGAGAAAAATATTTTCTACCTGTGGAGCTCACCTAACTGGAGTGTCCATTTTTCATGGTACAATACTCTTCATGTATGTGAGACCACGTTCCAACTATACCTTAGAGCATGACATGGTAGTGTCAACCTTTTACACCATTGTGATACCCATGTTCAATCCCATCATCTACAGTTTAAGGAATAAGGATGTAAAAGACGCAATGAGAAAGTTATTTGAGAGAAATTGTTTCATAAATAAAATGCACTTTAAAAACTGAGTAAGGTGCCAGGAGTGGTGGCGCATGCCTTTAATCCCAGCACTTGGGAGGCAGAGGCAGGCGGATCTCTGTGAGTTCAAGGTCACCCTGGTCTACATAGTGAGTTTCAGGACAGCTGGGGCTACAGGGAGACCCTGTTCAGACCAAAAAAAAAACCAAAAAAAAACCTAAGTAAGGGGCTAGAGATAGCATTTGGTGGTTAAGAGCATTGATGGCTCTTGCAGAGGACTTGGATTTGGTTCCTAGCACCCACAGGGTGAGTAAGAACCATTCTCATTCCAGTTTCTGTGGATTTGATGTCCAAATCTGGCCTTAGTGGGCATTGCATGAAGATGGTGCACTTATATGTAGAAAATACACTCATACAAATAATAAGTAAACAAATAGAGAAACTGAGTAAGCATAAAACTCAGAGTAATTTATATTTAGCTGTTTTATTACTGTACCTTATATTCCTAATGTACTTTCAAACAAAGCATTAATAAGTCCCAAAATATAACATTCAGAATTATCAGTATATCATGCCATGCATATGTATATAACTGTGTCCAAATTGATCTACCAGCATATTATGTCATGCATATGTATATAATTATGTTCAAATTGGTATATACCCATTAGTTTTAATATACATATTAAATATTGATAGTTGCCATATGACTTCATCCTCTTTGGCTATTCCATATTATTTACTCGGCCACATTGAATGTGTTTCTGGACCACATTATGAAGTTAATTCCTCATTCTTGTATATTTCTGTGAAATTTTACTGCAACTGCACAATATTTTCACACATACATGTATCAAATTAATCATTTGCATATTCTTTAGTGCTAGATTTGTATTTATTAAATCCTTTTCTTTCTCCTCTTCAATCCCAAGAATGATAAAGAATCTCCAAAACTTATAGTGATAACAATTTAGCAATGCTACTAAGAATGTTCACAAGAATGAGCCCAGCAAGTGGAAGAACAGCCTGAATGAATGACCTACAAATCGCCGCTGAGGATGACTCCTCCGTTATCTGTACAGCTGGTCTCCTTGACTGCCATGGTACTTTTTCTTATGTTCAAGATCCTCAGTGCCTCATATTCCCCTTGTATTCCATCTATGAGAAATACTCTTGAATTTGTTGTCATTTTGCACAGTACACACATACCCAATAAAAGGCTCAGTATAGAGAAAATGTTTTTTCACTTAAACTTGAAAATCATTTTGATTTGTTTTCTGTATTTATTCCTATTCCAAAATTGGTTTACATGAAGAAGCATTAAAAGTAGAAGTTATTTTATTTTGATCCAATGAAGTCTATTCCTGAAATTTTACTTTTTTTGGGTCTATACTGCAAAGGCTTCATCAAATATATCAAAATAAAGTACCCACCATGGTCAATCAAATAATCACTATTTCCATGGACATACAGAAAACACCTTAACCCCCACCAGAAAAATTTTAGATCCAAGAAATCTAAATAGTAGCATGAAAAATAAGCAGTAACAGCACCAATAAAAATCACTAGCTCTTCTATGTATCTATAATGAATTTGAAAACAATGAACTCACAGTTCTATCATGTTTACAATAATCCCCCCAAATAATACAAACTTTAAATAAGTCAAATCAAAGAAGTAGGAGACTCATAAAGTGAAAATTTTGAACAGTGAAGGAAAAAATTGGAGGAGACACTAAAAGATGGAAGTCATCCATATTCATAGATCAACATAGCTAGTATTTTAATGAACTCTACATGTTAAATACATTATAGACCAAAATTCAAATGACATATATCTCAAGTCTGGGAAAAATAATCCTAAAATTAATATGGAAGCACTAAAGATCCAAAATGGACAAAGCCAACTCCATCAAAACAAACAGAACTGGAGGTATCAGAACTTCTGATCAGGAATTATGCTAAAGACTCACAGTAACACAAACAGCATGGCAGTCAAACAAACAAATAAACAAACAAAAAATCAACTCGTAGTTCACAGGAGCAGAATGGAAAATCCACACTTTTATCATCATATGATTCTCAACAAAGGTACAAAAAAACACAATGGAAAAAGGAAAGCATATTTAATCAAACTCCATAACAAGGTGCAGAAGAATGGAACTAGATACCCTTTTAGTTCTCATTCTGTACAAAAGTAAACATAAAACAGAACAAAAACCAATATAAGGACAGAAAGTTGACTAGTAGGGGCCCAGACACTTTCAGACTGCCTGAGAATGCCCGAGTTGGGCCTCTGCATGCTATGAAATGGAAGCAACCTAAGTGTCCCTCAACTGATGAGTGGATAATTAAAATGTAGTGCATTTATACAACGTAGTTCTACTCAGTGGTAAAGAAAGCCAAAAACATGAAGTTTTCAGGTAAATGGATGGATCTGAAATTGTTACACTAAGTGAAGTAACACAGTCTCAGAAAAACAAGCGACATATGTTCTCCCTCATATGTGGACGCTAGCACCAAATCCTTATATGTGAGTATATGTCTTGATGTAACTGCAGGAGCTGGGAAAATGGAAAGGGACCATGGTGATAAAGGGAAAGGAATCTGAGAGAGAAGAACGGTAGCAGATAGCTGTTAGGAAGGAGTAAATGGGTAAAGTTGGGGTATTTAAGTCTGAGGGAGAGAGGGAGCATTATATAAGAAATAATGGGAGAGTTGGGGCTGGAGAGATGGCTCAGCAGTTAAGAACACTGGGTGTTCTTGCAGAAGACCTGGGTTCGAATCCCAGCCCCCACATGGCAGCTAACAACCGTCCTTAACTCCAGTTCCAGGGGATCCTACAGCTTCTTCTGTCCTCAGGCATTGCACGACATGGGTTCACTTACCTACATGCAAACAATACACACATACACATAAAAATAATAATAAAAAAAGAAATAATGGGAGTAAAGGGGAAGAAGGAGCTCAATCCAGGGGGTACCAGAGGAGACAGGTGTTATTTAGGATGAAATGGGAAAAATAGGGTTACTTTAACTGGGGTGGGAGGAAGGAGGGCTCAGCAAGGAGAGAGAGGAGAGATAAATAATGCCTAGCTGGTGTAAAAAATATAGGGAAACATATTAGTTCAAAAACCTACTGAAAAATTATACATAATGTATCTCTACATGAATTGATGTATATAGCTTAAGGCTATGTATCAAGAAACAGCACTGGACAGGAGAAACCTCCTTTCAAGTTGTTGGCCAGTGTAGCCCAAGAGACTCCCAAAATTACACAGGTTATTGCCACAGCCCTTGATTGCTTCCCAGAACTTGAAGGTAAGACCCTATTGCTGAAGACAAGATATACTTTGGACATAGAACTTGGAGCACTGGAGGTAGAAATGACCTGGAAGCCACCTCTCTGGATGCTAGCTCTCACAGTTTTTGGGGAATGCTATGCAAGCTGCTAAGGGAGAACATCAATTGAAGTTCCAACCCCAACTTTTAGGTCTAATAATGACAACAATGGCTGGCATAACAAACTATATTGGGGCAGTAGTGGCACTTTTATTTGGGGATAATTAATATCTACCTAATTGGATCTAAAGCCCTCTCAATGGGAGGGAACTCATGTGAAGTATTCTAAACATAGTCAAATACATATGGTTGGAGAGGTATTAGATCTTAGAAAAAACATCAAGACTGTCACATCCGTAGACAAATGTAATTTCTTGCTGTGTATTGATTATGAATACTTATATTTACAGACAAGTATAGAAGTCACCAGCCATCAAAGAAGCTCTGTTTGCAAAAAACACAGATTATTACAGAGTTCCACAAATGATCACACACAGATGAAGTGACTTTGAAATGCCCAACCCTAAGTGACATGTCTATAATCAAACCTCTACATCAAAGACACATGGAACATAGTGGAACAAGGGGTAGAGGGTCTACTAATACATCTCTCAACTCCCATCAATGAAGTTTCCTCATTCAACAGAGGGTAATGAACCCAGGACTCAGGGACCATTGCAGAATACGGGGCAGAAAGATTGTAAGAGCCAGAGAAGGACGTGCAAGACCATGTGGAAATACAGTCTTACAGGCTCCTGGGACCTTGCTAATATGAACTTACAGCAATGGTAACAGCATGCACAAGACACATGCAAACTCAATCAGACAAAAACCAGCACAGTTCCGAGGAAATGGGCATCAGGCCTTAATCTTTGCCAAGAAACTGTTGGACAGTTGATTTATTCCTCGGTAAGGAAGAGATGATCTTCTTTAATGGAGTGACTCTACAGGTTGATTATACCCCAGTAGTTAATTTGCACTGAGGGATGTTAGGGGACACCAACTAGACATGATAGGTTTTAACAGAAATGTCAAAATGCATGAAATACAGGTGTGTGTGTGGGGGGGGGCTATGGGAGGATGCAAATGGGTAAGGGAGTGTAAATATGATTAAGATGCTGTGTATAAAATAAACAAACATTCAATTAAAAATCCATTAAAAAAAGAGTGCCCTGCATGATTTCAAAGTAGGACTTTGCAGCTTACCATTTAAAGGTATCAGCTGTTCAACACCCTTAGCCATCAGGAAAACACAAATCAAATCTAAGCTGAGAGTCCCTCTCACCACAGTCAGAATGACATTCATTAGCAAAATGAAAGACAAATAATAATAATAATGGCAAATGTAGGTGGAAACTTATATACAGCTGACAGGATTGTGAATTAATCCAGCCACTGTGAAATTCATTATGGAGGCTCCCCAATAAACAAAACAAAACAATACAATACAACCACATTGTGAAGGAGTTACCTCCTGGGTATATACCAGAAGGATTCTAGGTTAACATACTACAGAGGTGCAATCCATGTTTATTGCTATATAATTCATAATCTTTAAGAAATGCAACTAGCCTAGATGACCATCAGCAGATGGATGGCTATGAAAATGTGGTATGAATATACAATGAAATTTGGCTCAGCTGCAAAGAGAAAGAATCATGATATTTGAAAGAAAATGGATTTAATTCTAGATTATTTTACTAACTGAAA